CATATTTATATAAATATGCAGAAATTAAATAGAAAGCAGACCACTGTAAGAGGAAGAAGTTGACCTACTCATTGAAAATGAGCAAGGGTTGATGCATTGTCTATAAGAACATATTTCTTGCCATTGTCTTTAGGCTTAATATTAAAATTAGAGAAATGTTATTATGTTCTCACCATTACAAAAAACATTATTTGAATTTCATATTTGGACATGAATTATTTTAATGTTAATGACAATTGTTGTTCATTTTTATTTTGACAAAATCTTAATGATTATGGTAAATTACAATATATTTTGACATGAATTATTTTAATGTTAAGGACAATTGTTGTTCCCTTTTATCTTGATGAGAGCTTAATGGGTATGGTAGATTACAAAATGTCATTTATATTCTAAACATTGAGTATTCTATAATAAGTATAGAAATTGAAATGCATAAAAATGATAATTTGAATAACATTTATATCTGACATTATAGACTTGGTCATATAAATGATAATACAATTCCAAAATTTCTTAGAGATGTATATTTGGGTCAAATGATTTTGAATCATTTGACAAATACGAATCATGTATGTTAGGCACAATGATCAAATCCCCTTGAAAATGTGAAAGATCTGCACAATTACTGGGTCTAATATGTAATGACGTATGTGGAGCAATGTCAGTTAACGCTAGATGAGGTTTCTCTTATTTAATCACATTTACTGATTACCATTTTAGAAATGTTCATGTATATTTGATGAAATTCAAATTTAAAACTCTTGAAAGATTTAAGAGATTCAAGCTAGAAATAAAGAAACAAATAAGTAAATGTACTCTCAAACTAAGACCCGATCGAGGTGGAGAATATCTAAAAAGCAGAATTTAAATTATCGAAAAGAGAATGAGATTCTCTCGTAGTGAACTCCGCCACATACACCGCAGCATAATGGTGTATCTGAACGAAGGAACACACATTATTAGAAATAGTGCGATTAATAACAAGCCATGCAAACCTCCCAAAATTGTTTTGGTTTCATCAACTAATTACCACGTGCTACACACTAAATTGTGTCCCATCTAAGTCCGTCGACAAAACTCCATACGAGTTATGGAAATGCAAAAAACTCAACTTGACTAATATTAAAGTTCAGGGCTATGACATTTATGCGAAGTGCACTAAATCGGATAAGTTAGAGTCTAAGTCCGATAAATACATATTTGTGGGATATCCAAAAGAGATATTTGGATATCAATTCTTTAATTTCATTGAGAAGAAAGTCTTTGTTTTATGACATATCGTCTTCTTAGAGAACAGTGGGAGCAAAATAAAACTTGAAGGAGTTCAAGAGTTTACAAATATAGTTGACCAAGTAGATGAACCTGAATCTGATCCCACATTTGCTGAGGGACATACTCTTGATCAGGAAGCAGAGACTCTCGACGACATGTCAGCTCCGTGTAAATCTTATAGGATCATAAAACCTTCTAGAAGGTACGAATCCATGATTGCTAATCGAGCATTACTAATCAATGATGATGAACCTACTAATTACGCAGAAACAAAGTCAAGTATTAACTCAAAGAGATAGCAAGATACCATGGAATTCAAGAAGAACTTGATGTATGTGAACAAGGTTTAGACCTTGATCGACCGACCTCATAGGATAGAACTTATGGGTTGTAAAAGGGTTTACACAAAAAGGTCGATATAGATGAAAACATCCATACAAGTAAAGTATGACTAGTAGCAAAAGGGATTACAAAGACAAAGAGTTGACTTTAATGAAACATTTTCACCAATAGCCATCCTAAAGTATATTCGGATCTTGTTTGTAATAGTTGCATATCATGATTATGAGTTATGAAAAAATGATGCCAAAACTGCTTTCCTTAACATGAACTTGCAAAAGGAAGTATAGATGACACTACTCGAATGTTTTAAATCCAAAGATGCTAACAGGGTATACAAGCTTGATAGATCTATATATGGATTGAAGCAAACCTTTGAAAATGAATTATGTGCTTACAAGAAGATAGTGGGAGTATTGTCACATTCCTAATATTATATATATAAGACATATTATTAATAAGAAACGACGTCCTTGAATTTCAATCGTTAAAATTATGATTGTCAAATAATATCTCCATAAAAGATATGGGAGAAACAACTTGATCTACAAAGATAGATCTAGAAGATTGCTTAATTCATTTCAATCTACATAGATAAAATTTTGAGAAGATTTTATATGGAGAAAATGAATTGAGAGTTCATGGATACACTGATACTAACTTCTAGTCAGACTAGCATGATAACAGATCTCAATCAATATATTGGTTTACTCTTAAGTGATGTGTTGGAAATGTTCCAAACAGGAAACAATCGTTGATTCAATAACAGAAGTCATATACATCATTGGTTTAGAAGCAACAAAAGTTGTTATCTGGATAAGGAAGTTCGTTAATGAACTTGGAGTAGTTCTTAACGTTATTGATCACATCCATCAGCATTGTGATAACAATAGAGCCATCGTGTAAATGAAGTAACTAAGGTCTCATAAATGATCCAAACATGTATTAAGGCGGTATCATCTCATTGAAAAGATAATACAATGACATGACGTAAGGAAAGAACAAATTCTCATAAATTATTAAATTACAGATCCACCGACAAATAGTTGTTACAGTATTAACATGATTATTATATAGACTCTCATGATATTAGATACATAAGTGATTGGATCTAGTGCAAGTAGGAGTTTGTAAGTGTTGTACCATAAATCCAATCAACTGTGGACATAAACACTTTTAATATATAATTTATGCATGTCATTTATAACAGATTTATTATTTAATTGAATTAATGTTCTAATAAATTAAATAATAGAATCTATAAATTCAAATCTTGGTAATTTGTTAATCACAAGGAGTTGTGATTATGAGATACAAATTATATATGACGAATCTTAAATCATCTGTGGTCGTAGGTAATAACGAGATACAAATATCGTTATTATGGATAGACCATCACTTGTGACATTTCTTACTTGTGAAGTAAATAACAGATCTCACAAGCTAAAGTGTTGTGATACTTAAATAAACACGTGGATGTTTTGCTATAAAACAAAATATTGGAGACCCACTGAAAGATTCTACATGGATAGCTATTTGAGTGTCAATGGTTAATCTCTAACATTCGGTGATGGAATTGGTCCTTCGACTTGATGTCATCATAGTGCCTTATATGAGGACAGTCATATTTTGGAGATATTGGATGTTGCTCTGCCAAGGGTTGCTAATATGGTATCGTTCAGGTATGTCATGAATCATCTGAAGGTTTTGAATAATCAATAGAGAATTCATCATTCTTAGATAGTATAAGATTATGATTTACATTTCATTCAGTTAGGTTGATAATGAAATCTTTAGCCAATGTGTGCTTATAAGTCGAAAAAGAATTTTCGACTTACATTGACTTAATAGAAGGATGAAAGACATGATCGATAATTGAAATTGACATATATTCATATCTCGTAAATGATTAGATCATATTGACGAAATGATTATAGTTTTACGGTAAACGAACAAATTTGATTTTGTTATACCACATAATATTTTCCGTCACATTTATTGCACTGACACATTATTGGATGTCAATCCGGGATGACATATGTGAAATGGTTATAAATTAAAAATTGATATTTTAATTTATCGATTTTGATTAGATTAAAATAATAATTCATATCATTGGGTACCGCAATTAGGAACCTAATGGGTCACACACAAAAGGTGAACTAAAAGAATAAGATTAACCAATTAATTAATCAACAAGTGTTAGAGAATTAATTGATTGTGTTGTTTGTTAATATACCCGAATTAATTAATTAGATTGAGTAATTTATGGACCAAAATTTAATAAATTGGATTAATTAAATATTGGATCTGGTAAAGTTTAAGAGACGGGTTAAACCCGCTTTGACTTCTATTAGTATGCTGTTAGGGTTTGAAAAAACAAAATATAATTCATTATATTGCTAGCACAAGAAAAGAGAAATCATAATTCTCTCGTTTTTGTTCATTTTGTGAATCTTTATTGGAGGCTGGACAATTAGACATTTGTAAATTGCAGATTGTGATTGTTCGTGTTCCAAGATCAACAAAAGAGTTTGCAGAATCCACAAAATGTATAATTCCTATAACAGTTTCTATCTAAACACAAAGTAGATCCTTGACGGGAATTGAAATTATTTTATTTTATTTTCCGCTGTGCATGATTAAGTAAATTCTCAACATTTTGTTTACTACAAATTTTGTAGAGACATCATCTTACTGGTTGCAATTTAATAGCATTGCAAATTTATTCATGTTTCAGCGTATTGCAGATTCTTTTGAGGAAGACAAATGGTGGTTTTGGTTAACTTACTATATGATCTTATTATGTTTTTTTTATCTTAATTCTTTGCAAGTTATACTGCAGGTTTTATCAGAAATAATTGAATGCTTTATTTGTCCTTTATAATCTCTTGTTCTTCATCTGGAAATAATAATTCATTGCTACAACCTTGAATGAAAGATATATTTTTAAATAAAACAAGCAGCATTATTAAAATAGCTTGCTGTTTTTGACCTTTTTCTGTGCTGGCATTGTGCTGGAAAAAGACGTATCTGCTCAATTCTTTGAAATAGACGAGAAAATAAATTTGGCACTGATTTAAAATTCACTTGCCTTAACTACCTATTGATGAAACCAGATATTCAGCTAATTCTCACACTCGGTGCATTGTTCGGCATACAATACAGAAGACTAAATTGGAAGATTTCGAATTTCAAATTTAGTTGAATTCTAACCCCTTAATCTTCAAGAACTGAAGGTAAAATTTGGTGGCATCTTGCAATTTCATTTTGAAATACTGTAATGTTCAAGATTGCTCTTTTCATCTTAATATTTCTCTTCTTCAAGCTATACAGAAATATTATCACTAAACATTGTTCACTTAATGAACAAACTGTTAACTCCATCAGCTTCCAGATTCAGAAATGCTTTGCAGTGATGGCCGCCATGTTTTAGACCGTATAGCAGTTAAATTCATTGATCCTGACCTTTGCTGATGACTGTCGTGTCTCACAGGCTGCAAAAATGGAGATAATCATCAGTACCATTTCATAGAAATGTAGAGTCTTCTTGAGATGGTATGAAATGCTCTGTAGTTGTGATTTTATCATTAAAAAAATGAATAATCATGTATTCCTAGTTGTGTTGCTGTTAACGTTTCTTTCGCCCCAGTTGTCTACAGAGGCCAAATCATCTAATGGCAGAATGTTTTGTAGAGGATTGGAAAATAGTCGACAGTATTAAGGAACAAAAGAAGTTGAAATCTTGTTTATTTCACTAATAGTCGTGCTTAGTGTGTCGTGTCAATTAGTTTTATGGTTCTTACCAAATCTCCAGTGTAATTCTTTTCTCAAAAATTCATAAGAAAAATTGCCAATTTGATGTATACGTTTTTACAGTTTTTGACCTATTTCTTTGCTTATAAATTTTATTAAAGGACACTGAATTTACCTCATCATTCTTCTCCCCTGCAGATTTTGCAGTTTCTGATTCGCAGCTTCGATTCTGCATTTCTGCTACCGGCGTTTGTTCTGCTGAATCCGGCCGTTTTTCCTTCATTTTCGCATATTTCTTTGCTCTCAACACTTTCGTAACATCTGTTCACACAAAGAATTGAACAAAAATTTCAACTCCTGTTCGATCAAGATGATTGAATAACACTGGACAGTATTACAGAAGAAAAATATCTAAATTTAGTTGATACGAGTTATCACAGGATATCAAGCAGATCCTGAACTTACCTTGTGTTGTGACCAGTCGATAAGCTCGGCCGAGAACTAATGTATCAGTTGGCCGGAGAAGCTTAACACGCGTAAAGCGCACCGTCTTGTCATCCGAAGTCCGTTCTCCGTCGACCGGCAAAGGTATTATGAGAGAAACGTAATGTCCTGGGTTCATTTTCATTACCTCGCTTGCTGACATCGGCCAGTACATTCTCTCTAGTTGGCCATTTGGATGTTGTATCACAAGTGCTGCAGCATCAACAGCTTGACAATTCCCCATTCTCTCTCTCTCTATCTATCTATATGTATAATTAGTTTGTATGTGTAGAAATGTTTATGCGGAACAGCAGAAGAAGAAGAAAGAAAGAGTGAGAGAGAGAGAGAGAGAGATAAGAAGGAACAGGAAGATAGGAGGTGAAGCAACCAATAGTCCCTTTCTAACCAGCAAGTCCCCCTACCCCACCTCCAAGAATGGTTAAATAGGTCTACTTCAAGCCAACCAGCCAGCAGTCCCTCCATTCCCTTTACCTCAACAAACTTATGATTTAAATTCCTATGACTATAATTCATATTGTAAACATTACTGTATTATGCTTTCAATAACAGTATAATGATATGTATTTATTTGTATGTATTTTATTATTTTACGTTAGGAACAAGAGGGGCCGGCAATGTTGATTAGATATTGATGGATCGCCACGTGTTTTTACATCAAAGGTGGTAGTGGTGATATTTTAGTGCCACTTCTCATTGGTTTTGGATGTTGTAAAATACTTATTTTTAACTTATAAGTTAACCTTTTTTTTGCTGTGCCAAACATGCTCATATAATTTCATGTTTTGTCTATTTTCTTTATCTATTCACTAAATCAATTAGGATATGATTTTGGGTCAAGGATCTATTTTGACATAACTATGACGTGCTAGGAGACGCTCAATGGACTTTTTATTTAATGAAATATCTTTGTAGATTTGGATGGATGTAAAAATGACTTTTTGAACAACCTCGTGTAGGTTTTAGCTATTTTATATTTTTCGTAGATATGAATTACTTAATTTCGAATCACTCACGTAGCAGGTCATCTATAGAAATGGAAAGATTTCCCTATTTGAGAAGGCTATATGGAGTAAAACGAAGTGTATGAATTCTTAGAAAATGCTAATGTCCGTATGTACATGCTTACTTTGATTTTAAAACATTTTTATAAATAAGATAAAAACCTTGTTTTTTTTTATTATTACTTTGGTGTCGACCATATGTGACTTAATTTTTCTCATAATTAATTAGTTAGACATTTCGAACACTTTACTCGATCTATTGATTTTGTCGAGTACAAGTCAATTACTTGACGAGTCATTTCAAGGCAAGTTCGATCAACCAACATCAGTCAATAGTCTCAAATATCATTTACTTAGTTTCACGAAAAAATAACTTTGTCTGATAAAACAAACTTCCAAAATTTGAGTTAATTAAAAATATCACAAAACATTCAAACGTGCTACTTTTACAGGGCAAGAGGGGTGGTTTTGTTGACAATTTCTCACACATGAGGTGGGTGGGTGCGTAATTTTTTTCTTTTTTTAATCACAGTGAGTTCCATCACTGTGAAAGGTTGTCAACCTCTTCGATCAATCCTTACTGTACAAATGGAATTGCTGAAATATTAAGGACTAAGAGTAGTACTAAAATCAAATCAAATAAATGCATTCATCAAAGATTCCATTGTCCCTTTACGAACACCTTATACTGCGTTGGTATGGCCTTAATCTCTTGGCTACAAATTCAATGTGGACAACCTGACTTATAATTGTATATTGGTGGCCATCCTTTGCTCTTTCCTTATTTATTTATTTCTTACAAAATAAAATTTAAATTTGGAAAAAATAATGTTTACATAAAAACATGCTGTTGAAAAGTTTATATCAATCCACACTGTTCAAGTATGGAGTCACTTTCATCTTTAATTAAAACTAGTGTTCTAAAAGACGTAATG